CCCATCAGCTGCACACATGAAAGCGCCTGCTGCGTAGCAGGAGGAAAAGAGAGCGGAAAAAGTTCAAAACTTATTTCTAGCGGCAGAACAGGTTGGAAGATGGTATTTATTGTTTTTAAATCATCCTACAGGCTCTGACATGTTAGATGAATTTGAAAATGATGTTTTGAAAAAAATCCGTAAGATTTAAAAAATCCGTGAGATTGCTCTATACGTCCGTATACCTGCAAAATGACGTAAAATCCTTATAACTTACGGACAATCCGTACAAGTTGACATGTATGTTCTTACCAGCTCAATATTCATTACACGCTGAGAAGGAAAGTGTACTGGTCAATGTTCAAATGTAAACAAACTATTCATTTTTTTTTATTTTTTTGTCAACCTAACAGTATTTTCTGTTTCACTCATTTATTAGAAATGAGACTTTTCATGATGAGTGTTGCATATTTTTGGGGGGAGTATTCAGTTGATACACATACACGCAATATTTAATGAAAAAAACATTGAAAAAAATGCATATTTTGACAGCTATTATGGCTTTAAACAGTGACAGATTTTGATTGAATGTATCTGTATTTTCAGCCTTGCCCTGACTCAGTCCCTGCTGCCTCCAACACTAACACATCATGGTGCTGCTGTTGGGATGAGGTTGGCCAGATGAGGAGCACTGCCTGATTTCCTTCAGACAGAACATTTAAACAGTTCTGTCTTTGTTTCATTGGACCAAAGAATCTTGTTCTTCACAATCTGAGTCCTTCAAACAGATTTCGGGTGCTGCTGTACAATCAAATCACCATTTTGCCCCAAAGTTGAACTTAAAATGCTTCTTCTGACAAAACATCCAGCTGGATGATTGTGAAACACGATATGACATTTAGAACAATCTGTGAGCATGAAGACATGACAGAAAATATTATCTTTTCAGCCAAACAGGTGTAAATATCAGATATTGAAATGAAAATGTAAGGAGAACAATCAATGACTTACATTTTAGGAGTTCTTTTTATTTAATTTTTTTTTACCAGGCGCTCTTTGTTTTACAGGCACGTCTGTAGTCCAAGTCACAGCTGTAGATGCTGATGATCCAACATATGGAAACAGCGCCCGGCTGGTGTACGGGATTTTACACGGCCAGGACTTCTTTTCTGTGGACCCTCAAACAGGTCTGTTCATCTAATCCCACATGCCACACATTTCATTTAAAGCTGTTTTATACATTATTTGTCCAGATGATTAGAGTTTGTGTAATTAACCTTTATCTGTTATGTTGTGTGTATTTTGATTACTATTTTGAAAATGCTTCGTGATTCTGGATCAGGCTTTGGCCAGTGTGTTTTTTCTTTTCTGTTTCATTCTTGTTTAGTTCATTTGTGTTTTAGTTTGTCATAACTTCAGTTTGCTTCAGTGTTCCTCTGTTCCACTGTGCACACTCAGCTGTTCCAGTTTTGGTTATCAGCTCGGGTCTTTTTGTTCATTAGCTCTAATTTATACTCTTTGCTCCCTCTCCTAAYCAGTCAGTTATTTGTTATCATTTCTGATCCTCTGAGGTGACAATGGTTCAGGAGGTAGAGTACGTCCTGTAACCGGTGGGTTGCTGGTTCGAACACTCACTCCATCTGTCTCAGTCGTTGTGTGCTTGGGCAAGACCCTTCAACTGCCTTACCTACCAGTGGTGCTAGATCATAGCCCCATCTCTGTCAACCTGCCCCAGGGCAGCTATGGCTACAATGTAGCTTACCACCATCAGTGTGTGAATGGGTGTATGTCTGCAGTGCTCTGAGGGCCACAGTTACTGCAGATCAACAGCTCAGGGGCCAAACATCCAGCAATTAAAATTATTATGTAAATAAACCAAGTATTAYAAAGATCTGTTATGTTTGAAATAGTTTATTTTACTACATTCAATCATGAATTCAACATACAGAACCCTATAAAAGTACTCATAATTCAACAATATCAAAAAACAAAAAGAACACATTATGCCTCCTATTTGACACAAATATTATTTTGACATCTCTGACTTGACAAATTTTTAAACCAATTTTATTTTCACTCTCATAGTTCTATCTTCAATTGCTTGTAGTTTTAACTGTCTTGAGTATGCATATAAATGGTTTATACCAGCTTGTAGCCACGGTTCTGACATTTCTGTAGATTCTAAACATGTCAATGTCCAGCTAAAATAACTTAGAGTAATTAAAGTAGAAAACCGGGGGTTTGGGCTTAAAAGATGACTGAACCAATTGGCGGGCCGAACTTTGGTCACTCGCGGGCCGGATTTGACCTGTGGGCCACCAGTTGAATGGCCCTGCTATGTGTAAAGCACTTTGGGGTCTGCAGAGCTGAGTTCATTGTATTCCCATGAGGCTTTTTGGCGGTATGTTTTTTCGAGTTATGTTGCCATTGTAACCCAAATTGCCACAAAAAGTAATAGCACACCTCTCACCGAGCCAGTCGTTTTGATATAACATTTCTAGGGGTGCATGTTTTAATTCAGGCTACATTAATGTAAAACTCCTCTCCTTGGGCTGCTACCCTCTCCTTGGGCTGCTACCTTATCGTGGTGGAGAGGTTTGAGTGTCCCAATGATCCTAGGAGCTATGCTGTCTGGGGCTTTATGCCCCTGGTAGGGTCACCCATGGCAGACAGGTCCTAG